CACACATTCTCCAAATAAAATAATATTACACACAAAACAAAAACTTTTCATCACTTTTCCACCACACATTCTCACATCAATCACTATTCCCAAATTTCTATTCTCTTCAAAAATAGATTCAAACACAAGCGAAATGTAATGGAGCAATGATTTTTTATTCAGGATGGAAAGCATTATTAAAAAGATTATGCCCCTTTCCTCTTTTATTCAACTTGTGTTTCCAGGCAAGCATGAGGGAGGTCCTGTATCATGGCTTAGTGAAGCTTGTTCTGGTGGATCACTTATTTGTTGAGGCTGTTTTCGATTTTCTCTTGCCTCACTTCCTACGATTTTACAGAGAGGTATGTATTTGCAACACTTGTGCAACTAATGTTGGCTCTCAATGATTCAATGATACTGCAGAACAATTTTTTTTAATTTTCAGATTTTCTCTCATCTGCTCCGACTGTTTAGTTATAATTTTACAAGTTCTCACACACTAAAATATTGTACTCCAGGATGCAGATGTACCATTGGCAATTGACCTATGTGCTAAACTAGACTGTGGTGGAGTTTGTATTGAAGAGCCACTGGACTGCCTTATGTTTTGCATCTCTTTGATTCTTTTTCTTCAACCACATTGTAGATCTGACCCTCTTCCTGATTCAGGAGCTTGTTTTGGCTTCTCTATCACACAAGAGAATGAGGTATCTCAATTTCATGACATAAAGATCCAATTAATGTGAAATAACTTTAGTCTTCATCAACTTGACAATGACATCAAACTGATCAGGCTGGAAAAGTGTTGTCTGGAGAGTCATTCTCCAATGCGTTAGTGAAGATCCGGAAGTTTCTAAGAAATGGGAATTTAGAAGGTGCATAATTTTTTTTATTGAACTTCTCACATTTAGATCAAGTTTTTTGGTGGTCAACATTGCTGTTCACTTACTTTTTCTTTTCAGTAGTTTGTCTGGAGTCTGTGTACTATAAGCGATAGTTTATTTCTTTTTGATTTTTATCCTGTGAAAATAATAATTGAAACTGTACCTTGTTTCTCTACTAAACCTCTTCTTTAAATGATCGGAATTCCTGTTACTTACGTGGTTGTATTATTTGCTTGTTTAATCAGGCATGCTGTGTAAAAGTCAAATTTCAGGCTCCACCCCTATAGAAGATGAAAAGCTGAGATTCCACGCTATGCTTTTGTTGGGGATTGTTGAGGTAATGTTGAACATCACTGTTACTGAATTGGAGAAAGCAACAGATGTGAACAAAATGGAACTGGAAAGGGAACTTTTAACGTTAGTTGGCTTTCACAATTCTTTGGAAAAGTATACATCTATTTCTCGGCCAAGCAATGGTATTAGAAGAGGGACAGTACGACCTACTGCTGGTGATGCTGCCGATAGACTTGCTCCAGGCAGCACCAAGCCCTCTCCAGAAAGAACACCTCTTCTAGCAATGCCAACCATCTGTCAGCTATTGAAAATGGCATTAGAATCGTTGACATGTGATTCCTTTAGAACTGAAGCAGCTTCCCAGAACCACGTGCAGTTGTCCAATGGCGAGGCATCAGCTCCAAATTCTGAACTTCTTTCTTCCATTTTAAATATTTGCTCTCTCCAGTTAAAACTTTTTCCTTTTCCGGATAAAGATGATCCTTGGAAGACATTGATTTATGGTGATATTAAGCTGTTGGGGTCTCCACTGCTGAAACTGATTTGGTGTCTCAAGTCTGATATAGATAAAAAGAGAAAAGAAGCCAAGGGAAGGAAAGATGTTGAAGATAGAAAGGAACATATTCATTTGGGATTGCTTTGCTTGAAGAAATTGATTGAGATAAGTTTGTATAGCTCGAAATATGTGGGCTTAATTGATGATTTGGTCTCGTCTCCTGGACTTGAGCAAGAATCGACCCATTCTATGGAATTCCACGTCATTGATGAATGTAAATTAGCTGACGGCATCGATGATCAGAACACGAGAAGCGAAGAATTATTCATTGATAGGAATATTAAACCACTGCTTACTGAGTTTCTTGCTTTTTCTTTCTTCCATGAAGCTCAGGTGAACTCATCTTGACCTCTACATTGTTTTATTTGTTTTGCCTTTGTATAGTACTTATGATGAAAATTATCACTTTCACTAAATGTAATTATGCTACCAAGGTCGTGACTGGAAACGAGCCAAGAAAGCTAGAGAACATTTTTAGCTTAGTTAGATCTTCATGGACCATAAGCTAGCTTCATGAGCTCTCATAAGCTACCTTTTAAATATCCTATAACGACACTCGTGAATTGAGAATACACGATTAATTTGAAGTTAAATCATTTTGAAAAATGCAATCGGTTCATCTTATATTTATTTATTTATATATGCTAGGAAAGCTAAAAATATATTTGAAATTGTTTGTGCTGGCTCCTGCATCATGCATGAGTGATAACCTTGTCGAACTTTATTTTCCCCCTCATTCGTGAATCCTTAATCTGGGGTTCTAAAAGAAGATTGAATGTTAGATGTTAACTCTGAGACATCTGGTGCAGAACCCGATATATTATATTTTCTTAAAATCGGAGAGAAAATGAAAGTAGAAACTTAAAAAATTGGCGAATGGACTTCATATTTCTTCTTAAGTGCTAGAGATAAGTTTGTGGTCAGAAATCTACAGTCATGATTATACCGAAGAGATGAAAATGCTGATCTTATTTGGAAGAGAACTTTTGATAGTGACATTATGGGGAACACACACACACACACATGACATGTAATTCTATTTTCCTCCTTCCCTTGTAAGAAAATGAAGTTCAAATAGAAACTCTATGCCATGAACAACGGTTTCTTTAGGTCAGTGTATTGCTGTGCTTTCTTACCTCTAATACGCATTAACGCGAATATCTATTTCCTCAGATTCTTTGTGATATAACAGCTATGATTGGCAACAAATTGCCTGAGGAAAGGAAGAATCTTGTTGCCATGTGGGCTATACGCATCTGCAAAAACAGTGATGTGTCAAATTCTAAGGTTGCTAAAAGTTTGGTCTCTCTTGCTGTTTCTTTAAGCTCGCCTCCTGGTGACCTACTGGTCGCCCAAGAAATGGCTGCAGAACTTTCAAAAGTGACTGGATCAGATGATAGTGATCTGTTAGAGAAATCTGAAACCTTCCGCATCATAAACAAATCAACGGATGATGCAATAGCTTCTATCCTACTGCAGTTAGCTGAATCAACCGTCGTTGACATGGATTGGATTATTACAAGACTGAATACATACTATACAGCTACCCGAAAAGGCATTCCTCCTAATCAAACGGGTATATTTGATTCTGGATCAGTATTGGAAGAGACACTTTATTCAAGAGCAGAAGCCCTCTTGAAGGTCTTATCTTTTTTCGTTGCCATGACCCTCAAGGGTATGTAGTTGCTAACACATGCAAATTGTGCAAATCATTGTGCATTTTGTCGGCTCATTATGATTCATCTCCATTGAAAATGCAGATCCTCAAGCAGAGTATTTAGTGAGAATTGCTGCAAAGTTTTACAAGAACCTAGCTAGAATATCAAAGCTGCGTGTTGCTCCTAAAGGCTGCAAGCAAGTTTTACCGAGCCTCAATTACCAGAAACTCGTGGAAATAACTTGCAGGCAGTTAACTGCCCCAATTTATAACTTCGTGTCACAGATGCAACAGGTATTTCTCATGTATTCACTTGCTGCTTTTACTCGTACGCTTCATTCATGATAAATTTAAGATTTCATAATTCTTGGAGTTGTCATTGCTGATTTGCAGAACCAACAAGAGAGCAATAAAACCAGAGGACTTGTTAATAAAATCAAAAGAGAAAACCGATGCATCCCGGACTTGATCTTCCAGATAGAAGACTATGAGAAATATCTCATCCGATTGAGCAAGATCACCAAAATTAATCTGTTGAGGCATGCCAAACGTAGTACATCCCGAGATTTCAAAATTGTAGAGCCAAGTGAAGATGCATTGGAAGAAGAAAATCCGAACCAAGAACTGGAAAACTATAATTCCAATGATGCTGAAAGTGAATCGTCCAAAGAATCTCTAAACGAAGAAACTGAAAACGTTCTGGCGCCCGAGTCTAGTCCTATGGCTGCAGAGGATTCTGAGAGTGAGGATGAAGCTGCTCGTCCTAGAGCTAAAAGAGCCAAAATGGGCAGCGTTGTGCACGAATCCTCGGACGAAGAAGCATAACAATCATCATCATTTGCCTGTTTTGTAGGAAGATAAAATAGCATTTGGATAGTATTATAGGTCGAAAACAAATTAAAATCTTGTTAATTATACTCTGGTACATAGAGTATTATCAATATTTTATCAAATACGAATCTTTGCTTTCCACTTGTGTTGTAATTTAGGAACTTCGTGCGATTTTGAAACCATAAATTTACTTATAAAAAATAAGTAAATTTTAAAATAAAATTTTCATTAGTCAACACGATTATTTTTAGTTTTTAACCATTGCCCTGCACCCTAATAATCTGCAACACTCCCTAGAGTTAGTGGCAAAAGCTCAAGCAGACTGCGACTGAGAAGATGAATAGAGGTGGCGCAGCCTACCAACACCGCCGGCAGTCTCGCCGGCCCTGCTTGCCTTATCTATCACTAATTCTTTCATTCGCGGTTATGGTAGCAATAGTCAACGGTGGCGAGTTTATAGATTCCTCAGCAATCATATCGAGATTCCAACAATACCTAAAAATCAACACTGCCCATCCCGAACCCAACTACCACAAAGCCGCCGATTTCATAGTCTCAGTGGCCAATTCTCTTTCCCTCGAATCCCAAATCCTGGAATTCGTAAAGGGCAAGCCGTTGGTCCTCCTCAAATGGGCCGGCAGCGACCCCAGCCTCCCATCTATCCTCCTCAATTCGCATACGGATGTCGTCCCGGCCGAGCAGGAAAAGTGGGCACACGCGCCTTTTGATGCCCACCTTGACCCTTCTTCCGGCCATATCTATGCTAGAGGCTCTCAGGATATGAAGTGTGTCAGTCTTCAGTACTTGGAAGCCATTAGGAAGCTACAGATCTCAGGGTTTCGCCCAATTCGCACCGTGTACCTTTCTTTTGTGCCCGATGAGGAAATTGGTGGACATGATGGTGCCGAAAAGTTTGCTGATTCAGAGGTTTTCAAGAAGATGAATGTTGGGTTTGTGCTTGATGAGGGATTGGCCTCACCTACTGAGAATTACAGGTTGTTCTATGCAGAAAGGTGCCCGTGGTGGTTAGTGATTAAGGCCACTGGGGCGCCTGGTCACGGGGCGAAGCTCTATGATAATACTGCAATGGAGAATCTTCTCAAGAGCATTGAGAGCGTCAGGAGATTCAGGACTGCTCAGTTTGATTTGGTGAAGGCAGGTCTCAAAGCTGAAGGCGAGGTCGTTTCTGTTAACATGGTGTTCTTGAAAGCTGGCACGCCCTCTCCAACTGTGAGTGTGACATTGGTTCTTGTTTCAAATCCATCGCTGTGCAGCGTACACTGATAAGTTCTGATAAGTTAATTGCATAGTTATTTGACCCGACCCGGGCCATCGGGTCAATGGTGGACCAATGCATCATTACTTAAAAATTATTTATTTATTTTTTTAAAAATATAATTTTTTTTCTCTAGATAAAATTAGAAATTTTAAATTATTTGTCATTATTTATTTGTACATCTTTAAATTAATAAACTTGAGGGGTTGCTCAATTGGTCCGACTTTGGGTTTACTCCTTAATAGTTACCAGTTCGAGTCCCCTCAGGGTCACTGAGGTGAGTACCCGGCCGTAAATTTCAGAACTCCGTGGGATTAGTCGAGATACGCGCAAACTTGCCCGGACATCCACGGTTATAAAAAAAAAAGTATATCTTTAAATTAACAATTTCGTGAACTCATTATTAATTATAACTTATAATGGTTATGATGTTCCCACGAATAAGCACGACCCGGGCACGTACACTGGAGGAGTAATGTTGCTCATCCCACCAATTTCCTCTAAATCTCCTCGAGCAAGTTACCTCGGTTACGTTTCTCCTCGAGCACACGATTCACCACGTAATCCTCGTCGGGCTACGTCCTCAGGAAACAACATTTCCCGAGTAGCCTGGGATCTCCTCGAGGTCAGGTTAACAACTCCTGATCCGTTAGTACTCTCAGATCCAAGGGTTTTTGAGTTTTGCTGTTCCTATCCCACTCAGATAAGGACTAGATCATTGGAATTCTATTTTTATTCAAACACACCAATGGAACAATACCCATCAAGTTGCAACTTCTAAGCATGGTAGGGCTCTTAGGGACTTGAGTAACTTAATCCTACCAGAAATGTTATACCTACCTCTTTATAAATACAACACCCCAATTCATTATTTAGGTATGCTTTTACATAATTTTTCAGCATATATCCTTTCGCATAAATTCTCTCTCTAACATAAGTATCGGATGGGTGACTAGGAAACACCTCGACGCCTTTGTTTCAGGTATCGAAAGATTCTGTTCATGCTTATTCTCAATCCTCAAGCTCGAAAATCAACATGTACGATTTTTTATAGCATCATTGGCGCCGTATGTGGGAATCGCTACCAAAAGCCATGGTTATTACACATTCCGATCTTCCTCCGATAAGCTCATCCATTCCAAATCATCCTCCTGCTGAAGACCTTCTAGCCGCCCAAGAAGAATCATCGGAAATACTAATGTCCCAACTAGCAGTTGTTACTATCGGAGCCTTCGAGGAGCTCCGCTAGCAAGTTGCAACACTAACTCAGTTGCTAAATCAAAGAAATCCGCATCCAGTACCAGCACCGCAGGGCGGTTTCATGGCAGAAGCTCGAGCTCTTTGTAACGTTCCGGGCATTGGTGAGGCTGGAACCACAGGTGCACATCGCACGACCTCGGGCTCGAGATCAGTTACTATGGACTCCACTGAACTCATCAGGATCATATAGGACGGAATTGTAGCTGGTATGCTTCGAAATGCTCAATGGTCAACAAGTTTCACTCCTAACACGCCGTTCACCCTAGAGATATTGTCATAACCCTTACCAGACAGATTCAAGTATCCCCGCATAAAAGAGTGTGACAGGATTACATATCACATCAATCATCTCAATGTATATATCGACATCATGAATCTACAAGTGGAACCAGATCCGGTGATATGCAAAGCTTTTCCATAAACTTTGTTATCTGATTTGGCCGACAAGTTTTTTGTCTTCATTGCAAGTAGCAAACGCATCAAGAAAACAACTGCTTCCCTCACGTATCTCCGTCAAGGACTGAACGAATCCTTGCGTAACTTCATGACGATGTTCAATAAGGAAGGATATTAGATACCCGACGTTCATATCACAGTAGCAATCTCTGCCGTCACATATGCCATAAGATGCGAGCCGTTCAAAATGCCTCTGTCAAAAACCCCGCCGAAGTCAGTGACCGTGCTCCTCACACGAGCCGAAAAGTACATTAATATAAAGGAGACATTGAATTCGAGAAGAACTCCGCATTTTACATCAGAAAAACCCAGACACAAAAGATAACATAATTCTAATCCCCGTCCGGAAGTTCCCAGGAATAAGCAGAAACAGGAGACACAGCCGTCATCATTCTCTCGATTGAACACTTCTAGGTCTAACATTCTGATGTAGATCAAGGATATGAACGAGCTTAAATGGTCTTCACGGATGCAGTCCTTCTTTATATACTCGAGATAAGAGCAAGTATTGTGATTATCATCGGGATCAGAGGCATACTACAGAGAATTGCAAAGCCCTACATCGAGAGATTGAGGCGCTAATCAAAGGGGATTCTTGAGTGCATACGTCATCCGCCATGATAAACGCCCAAAGAATGATCGTGAAGGAAGGGGGAATGACAAGCTCACAGCAAGAACCATTAATATTATTGTCGAGAGTATAGCATCAGGAGGAGACTCAAACAGTGGACGTAATGACT